TCACCCCTCCCATCCTGCTCAGTTTCTAGGCCATTCCTTTTCAAGTTGTAGTGGAAAAAAGTATATAATTGTTTTAAAGATATGTGACTGCATTATTAAAGATATGTTTTAAAAAAAAAAAAGAACACACATGATGATTTTGTCTGGGTATCACTGAACAGAAGATGCTGCAGGCATGGTATGGGGTTGACAAGCACCAAAGAATCAGAGTTTCATGACTTCACCAATTCCTCTTTGAAAGGATTCAGATGTGCAGAGCATTATGAGGTTTTATGATATTAATCCTTTAATATCCATCATGCAAAGCCAAAAGGTAAAAATAAAAGCATCTGAGTTAGAGCCATGACTGGGCAGATGAAAACTGCCGTCTGCCCAGTCTGCAAAATTTCCAAGTGCCTGGGAGGCATTAAGAGCTTGGATGATCACAAGTCAAGCGTAGCTAAAACCAGAAGAGATACAGTTTTGGTTAACTGGAATTATCCCATTCATTAAGAACAGCTTTCTTAAACTCCAATTAAAAATATTTGGGGTTTCTTGGAAGGCCAAATGGCTTCTGAAAGCTCAGGACAGCCACAGCCGGAGCAGCTTTTCAGCCTTCCTGGATAACTGGGAAGCGTTTGCTTTTAGATGCAGGAGTGGAAAAACTTCCAGATTCAATTTCCAGAGTTGTGCTGAAGGCTGTATCAAGTTTTCCCTTCTGCAGGGTCATGCCACTAGGATTTCAAAGTATGACGCTTATGCACAGCTCTGCACCATTCACAGTTTTATTGATTTAAAAAGTTCACGGTTTTCTTTAAAATAAATTCAGCTTACAGTAGAAGTTGTCTAATCCTGCTACATCACTAACTACACTAGATCTCTAGCCACAGCTGAATTCCAATGCAGAAGAGCTCTTCAGTTAGGATCCTACCAGATTATTTTACTGTAAATAAAAGTAAGTTTTACAACCCACAGACCACGATCACAATAATGGCAAGCATGCAAGCAGCACTGTTATGCAGCACCACGTAGTACCTCAGTCCATAACGCTTAAACCTAGCACACAACAAAATTAATTTGAATTAATTTGAAGAATTTGAAAACTAAGAACAGATGCTCTCTTTAAAAAAAGAAAAAAGAAAGGGTGGGGGCAAATGGGAAACACTTACCGGTTTCTTTGGCATCGGTGCGCTATAAGGTGCGGGACCAAGGGCCATCTCAAAGAGTTTATCAGAGTAGGGAACAGCCTTCTCTACGCTCTCCCGGAATTGTGTATCATAGCTGGCGTACAGGACGGTTCCACCTACTCCTCCACCCACAAACAGGACACCTGCACCAATGATTTTGCCTACAGAAACACTGGGGTGGGGGGAGTGAAAGTTATGTAAAATGTATTGTATGACAAACATCAAAGAAATTGTAAGTCTTTAGCGTACAGCTGGGGACAACCACTCTGTCCCAGGAGCTTGCCAACAAACCCAGCACCCACTTTAAATCACTTCCAGCACCGGCGAATCCCTGGCACTGTACTGGTTCGTGACTAACCCGAAGTTAAGACGGCGACCCACACCCTTCCTTCTAAATACTGATCATCTCCATTAGCTTCATTTAAATCTGACTGAATCAAACAAGGAACACACAAAACCGTGAGAATTAATTACTCAGCAAAAAAAAAATCCCCCCGCTACCCATTTGCTCTCACTAAAGAGCAGATTCCCTCTTGGTCAACGCAATGAAAGAACCAATTCCACCCCTCCAAAACCTTCTACGTACCCAGACTCTCCCGAGGGGGTAGCATATCCACGGGACAGTCTTAACGGACGGAGTGATGCTCTCCCACACCGGCTGTTCTGCAAGGGGTGGAGGAGGCAAGAGTTAAGCAGTGAGCACATTTAAACGTCTCTTCACCTCGGCAGCAGTTTCGGATGGGTTTGCTCCGTCGCCACATCTTGCACACCCTCCGAAGGAAAGGCACTACAGCAGTGACGCTGGACTCTGTTTTCCCTAACCAAAGAAAAGACTCTTCTCTCGTGCAGCTTGTAGGTTAAGGGCTTTTCAGGAAGTAATTAGACATTTCGAAAACTAAGGGGGATAAAAAAAACCCAAACAAAAAAAAAAAAACCACCACCACCCCAGCTTATTTCTGCACTTATTTTGCCTCTTTATGTTCCTGACCACCAGTCTGGGCAGTACAGCTGTCTTAGTTCAGATTCTCTTCAACAACCTCGTGCGCTAGAATGGCTCAGCTGTGAGCAGTGCAGAAGACAACAACAGCTGTTTAAACACTTAAAACTATTAAAAAACTGTATTTATTACTTAAAACTATTTTTATTTCTGAAGACATACAAGCAGTTCTCCTTGAAGATTCCAAACAAAGACTTCTTCTTTAAAAGAATTAACAACGCATCCACTTTCCAGACAGACATCAGATTATAATATAAATGAAATTACTGTATGAAGAGTGGTATTTCATTATATTCTACTTAACAAAAACCACATCACCCATCTTTTTTATATATTAGCTGAAAAGTAAGATTAACCAGAAAGACTGGTTCAGCTACTCGAGCCCACAGAAGAAGGAAAAACGCTGTCCCCCTCAGGTGTTTTTTTTCCCCACCTACAAATTGCTAAGAGAGAAATACAGGGCTCGCAGGAAATCAGTGTACAAGGCACAAAAGGAACTTTTCCCACAGTTGAGATATTTTGGGCAACAATAAAGTTTTTATTTTAAAAAAATTACAAAAAACAGAAAATTGGGAGATGCTTCACTACAACATACCCCCAGAAGATAAGTTTCTCTATTTCCTTTGGCATATGGCAACAAGTAACAAGTGCAAGTCTTGTGGTCTAGGCCCCATCCTTGTCCAACAGCATAGAGATGAGAGGCAGGAGCACTGAATTCTTAATCTTTCCAGAACAGGAGCCAAAAATTTTTAATTAGCAACAGGAGCACGTGTACAGCAACAGGAAACGTGCTCTTCTTACCCCTGAGACCTTCAGGAGCCCTAGCTGTGCTCCGTGGTCGACTTTCCGAATTACCACGGATAAAACAGGAGACAAAATAATAAACATGTTCTGTAATGGTTTTGATTATTAGACTCGATTGCCCCAGAAGAAGATTACACCAAGGCTTCACCAGCCGTTTCAAATGGAACATCACTAATAAAAGCCACTTAAATAATTTGCAATCAACTGCTGGACGTGCCTCTGAGCCTCCATAGGTCCCTATTACACCACAAAGCATAGGATGAGCAAAATATTTGAGCATTATGCGTACAGCTCAACCCAAAACCCAATAAAAGAAGGGGGGGGAGAAAATTATTTTCTATTGATCCTTTCAATTTCAGTCCCTTCCAGCACTCTGGGTTTACATTATTTTGCCTAAAACTCACCTGGAAATAAGCCGTCATTCCCAAGCCCCTCTCCAGGCTTTCTGGAGGTTACCCCAACCTGCGCCACGGCACTAAGGGAGCTTAAGCAAGGACAAGCCAGGGAGTTGCCTTAGGCTGGACTTGCCTTCTAGGTGATCCCACAACTGCAACCTTGGCACCCAGGCCAGTACCTTTGTTATCATCTTGGCTACAGAGCCCACTCACACCTCGCAATGGCAAATAACACCGTACCCACCTTCAGTAAACACAGCTCCCATATAACAGATATTAACAGGTATGTAAAAAAGGGCTTATTTCCATTCATTAAAAAAACTTGCCGCTCCTAATATTAAAAAAAAAAAAAAAAAAAAAATCCCCAAACCAAACAACCATTTCTTTTGGGGCTGTATCAAAGCAAAACGATGAAGTTTCACTAGCTCAACAGCAAGGTGTCACCACTCACAGTAATGCCACCATCTGCAGGTCTGCAGGCAGACGCCGAGGCTCTGGCCCAACCTTTAGCCAACTGAACAGGGTAAGAGGAACTCCCGAACATGACACAAGATGCACCAAGTCTCATGTCAAAAAAAAAAAAGAGGGATGAGAGTGCTGAAGGGGTAGTCGAGACAAGAAAATGGAAGAGGGATAACAAGATACAAAATCGGTGTAATTGTGGCTGCCTGGGGCTGACTGCAGCTGGAGCAGCAAATAAACCAATGCTGCTGCTCCGGCAAGGACTGTGGAGTGCACTCCCCAGGCAGGGGGTGCGGGCAGCCAGGATGCCATCCCTTATTAGCAAGGCAAGAGGCGGCACAGGCAGATGGAGCATCCCAGTGTCACCGTGCCTTCCAGGCCTGGCAGCGCCAGCATCTGCCCAACGGCCTCCTAACAGCCAGAGGCTCTTACTTCCATGATGGGAGTTTTCACTGCTGGTGAAAAATTACCTAGTATCATCTCAGATCAGGTTAGCGCTTCTCGATTAGAGTCCACAGTTCGGCACCTCTCATGAAACCAGCACTGTAACCAAAACATTTGTTTCTTACTTCCAGTTTCTGGCTCTTTTGCTGCCCAAAAAGAACCCAAGTTTTAGTTGCTGAAAGTCCATGGGACCAGCTACTGTTTTCACGTGTATATACCACAGTATGCCACAAAGCTTCCCCAGTATGAATAAAAAGAAGCAAAACACATAAAAAACTGTTTCGCTGCATACACACTTTTGCTGTCCAAATTAAATT